TTTTTTTTTAAGATTTTATTTATTTATTTGACAGAGAGAGACACAGCGAGAGAGGGAACACAAGCAGGGGGAGTGGGAGAGGGTGAAGCAGGCTCCCCGCTGAGCAGAGAGCCCGATATGGGGCTCAATCCCAGGACCCTGGGATCATGACCTGAGCTGAAGGCAGATGCTTAACGACTGAGCCACCCAGGCGCCCCTACCACATCTTCTTTATCCATTCATCTGTCAATGGACATCTTGGCTCTTTCCATAGTTTGGCTATTGTGGACATTGCTGCTATAAATATCGGGGTGCATGTACCCCTTCAGATCCCTACATTTGTATCTTTGGGGTAAATACCCAGTAGTGCAATTGCTGGGTTGTAGGGTAGCTCTATTTTCAACTTTTTGAGGAACCTCCATACTGTTTTCCAGAGTGGCTGCACCAGCTTGCATTCCCAGAAATAGTGTGGGAGGGTTCTCCTTTCCCTGCATCCCCGCCAACATCTGTCGTTTCCTGACTTGTTAATTTTAGCCATTCTGACTGGTGTGAGGTGTTATCTCATTGAGGTTTTGATTTGGATTTCCCTGATGCCGAGTGATGTTGAGCACTTCTTCAAGTGTCTGTTGGCCATTTGGATGTCTTCTTTGCAGAAATGTCTGTTCATGTCTTCTGTCCATTTCTTGATTGGATTATTTGTTCTTTGGGTGTTGAGTTTGATACATTCTTTATAGATTTTGGATACTAGCCCTTTATCTGATATGTCATTGGCAAATATCTTCTCCCATTCTGTCAGTTATCTTTTGGTTTTGTTGACTGTTTCTTTTGCTGTGCAAAAGCTTTTTTATCTTGATGAAGTCCCAATAGTTCATTTTTGCCCTTGCTTCCCTTGCCTTTGGCGATGTTTCTGGGAAGAAGTTGCTGCGGCTGAGGTCGAAGAGGTTGCTGCCGGTGTTCTCCTTTAGGATTTTGATGGACTCCTGTCTCACATTGAGGTCTTTCAACCATTTGGAGTCTATTTTTGTGTGTGGTGTAAGGAAATGGTCCAGTTTCATGCTTCTACATGTGGCTGTCCAATTTTCCCAACACCATTTGTTGAAGAGACTTTTTTCCATTGGACATTCTTTCCTGCTTTGTTGAAGATTAGTTGACCATAGACAGTACAGTACAGGCACAAAAACAGACACATAGATCAATGGAACAGAATAGAGAGCCCAGAAATGGACCCTCAGCTCTATGGTCAACTAATCTTTGGCAATGCTGTCTTAAAGCCAAGTTGGTTAGCTCTGTGTATTTGAGATTTGAAAGTATGTGTGGTAGAAAGAACCCTAGTGTTTTTTAATGTGAAAGAGATCGCTGAAGTTCACAGAGGTTTATAATCTTCTCAAAGTCACTCAGCAACTCAAGTAGCCGTCAGAACCACAGCTCAATCTTGGATGCTTCTTTCACTCTGTCTTGCCTGCCTGCCATCCTTATATTTTTTTAGCCTGTTAAATGATGGCTCAGTTCATTTAAAGTGTTTACAGGAGTTGTGTGTGTCTAAGCAGTGTTATTACTATGTCTTCAATCCAGTTCGAAAGTTTCCATTAGAAAATAATACCATACGATGTTGGTTGAATATAAACAGAGTAGGACCTGTCCAAATTGCTTTACCTAATTATGCTGGCGAAATCCTATGATTTTGTTGGAAAAGTTGACCTAGGCACATTTCCAATTTGCTAAAAACATTAAAATACTTTTAATGTGAAATAATTTCTAGTTTAAAAGCCTTTTCCTTAACTGACTTTTTTTTTAGCTGGAAGCAAAATAAACTATTTCATCTGAGAGAGATATTTATATCCACCATCTGAACCCCCATGGGCTATATTCCATGATGATCTTTTGGAACATTTAGTGAATGTTTAGTAGATATCCAGGTCTTCTAATAGGCAATACTACTGAAACATCACCAGACAGCCACTTTTGCTTTATGAAGGCTGATTTTCAAAAGTTGATTAGCATAAAGGTTAAGAGTACAGTTTCTGGAGTTGGCCTTCGGGGGCTTCACATCTCAAATCCACCTATTCTGTGTGTCAGTCTCTTAGTATTCAGTTTTATTTATTCATTTCTTTTTTTAAAGAGGGGAGGGAAGAGGGGCAGAGGGAGACACAGAGAATCTCAAGTAGACTCCATGCTCAGCATGGAGCCTGATACAGGGCTTGATCTTACAACCCCGAGAGCATGACCTGAGCCGAAATCGCTTAATCAACTGAGCCACCCAGGTGCCCCTTAGTACTTCAATTTTGTAACCTGTGATGTGACCATAATATTGATGCCCACTTCACAAGATTGTGGTTGCAGTGAAATTATGGTAATAGAAGTCAAGCCCTTTTAACTGTGCTTGGCTTATAGTAATGAACACTAGCATACATACCACTGTTATTTTTATTTAATTTAATTTATTTATTTTTTAAATTTTATTTTATTATGTTAATCACCATACATTACATCATTAGTTTTTGATGTAGTGTTCCATGATTCATTGTTTGTGTATAACACCCAGTGCTCCATTCAATATGTGCCCTCTTTAATACCCATCACCAGGCTAACCCATCCCCCCATCCCCCTCCCCTCTAGAACACTCAGTTTGTTTCTCAGAGTCCATAGTCTCTCATGGCTTGTTTCCCCCTCCGATGTCCCCCCCCTTCATTTTTCCCTTCCTACTATCTTTTTTTCTTTTTTAACATATAATGTATTATTTGTTTCAGAGATACAGGTCTGTGATTCATCAGTCTTACACAATTCACAGCACTCACCATAGCACATACCCTCCCCCATGTCTATCACCCAGCCACCCCATCCCTCCCCCCCCACCACTCCAGCAACCCTCAGTTTGTTTCCTGAGATTAAGAATTCTTATTTTCATTTTTTAAAGATTTTATTGATTTATTTGAGAGAGAGCACAAGTAGTGGGAAGGGCAGAGGGAGAGAGACAAGCAGACTCCACACTGAGCACAGAGCCAGATGCAGGGCTCGATCTCAGGACCCTGAGATCATGACCTGAGCCAAAATCCAAGAGGCGGATGCTTAACCAGCTAAGCCACCCAGGGGCCCCACCACTGTTATTATTCTAGTCAAGTTTTAGTATCATAAGAAAAAGTAATTTGGGAAGGCAGTATATGAGATAATTCAAAAAAGATTTTCATCAATATCAGTATCCATTAAATGTTCTATTGAGTAGATAATACTCACTCTCTGACTAGTTTAGTCCAAATATTCTTTGGGAATTCTAATGTGTACTTTGCAAAAAACAAACAAAAAGTTAATTATGCTAAAGTATGGAATCTTCCTTAATATTTCTTTTTTTTTTTTTTAAAGATTTTATTTATTTATTTGACAGAGAGAGACACAGCGAGAGAGGGAACACAGGCAGGGGAAGTGGGAGAGGGAGAAGCAGGCTTCCTGCCGAGCAGGGAGCCCGATGCGGGGCTCGATCCCAGGACCCTGGGATCATGACCTGAGCCGAAGGCAGACGCTTAACGACTGAGCCACCCAGGCGCCCCTTCCTTAATATTTCTTTAACATCACAGAAATGTAAATAAATTGTCTTGTAGACTATATATAATTTTCAGCATTGAAAATTATCCACAACATACTTTTTCAAATATTGATTTATTCTGTAATTAGTGTTCAGACTCTACAAAAGAACATGTTAATATACAATCACATACAAATACTGAGGTGGAAGGAATTTTCTAGTACATTAATGTTTATATTAGAAATTATATTTTCTGCCCCTTTTCAAGATTAATGACTTCCATTCAGAAGCGTTATGAAAGATGCCATGTTAATCACTAAATAATGTTACTCTGGGAACACATTTTAGGAATACACCCCCCCCAAAAGGACAGTAAACTAAATTAAATGTTCTCTATTTTTAGACTTAGATATAATTGACATACTCGTTTTGGATGTACAACATAATGATTCAATATTTGTATCTATTGAGAAGTGATCACTATAATGAGTCTTGTTAACATCCATCACCATACATAGTTACAAAATTTTTTTCTTGTGATAAAACTTTTTAAGATCTAGTCTCATAGCACCTTTCAGGTATACAATATTATTAACTCTAGTCCCCATGTTCTATTTTATTTTATATATTTTATGACCTAATTATTTTATAGCTGAGAGTTTTGAACATTTTAACCACCTTCACCCATTTCACCCTTCCACCCCTGCTCACAATATACTTTTAACAAACTACATATAACTGAATGAAGACTGTACTTTGTAGCATTGAGAACAGTCTTCTAGGCCTTAAATCTTAAATTCTTCTGGGCTGATTTCATACTTTTAAAGGGCTCCCTAATGTTATACTTTGCTTCAAGAATAGAGAGCTACTAAAACACTGTTCTTTTTTTTTTTTTTTAAGATTTTATTTATTTATTCATGAGAGACAGAGACAGAGAGAGAGAGAGAGGCAGAGGGAGAAGCAGGCTCCCAAGGAGCAGGAAGCCCGATGCGGGACTCGATCCCAGGACCCTGAGATCATGACCTGAGCCGAAGGCAGACGCTTAACCATCTGAGCCACCCAGGCGCCCCTAAAACACTGTTCTAAAGCGAGTGGATTTGATTCCATCTCCTTTTTTTTTTTTTTTTAAGATTTTATTTATTTATTTGACAGAGGCACAGCAAGAGAGGGAACACAAGCAGAGCGAGTGGGAGAGGGAGAAGCAGGCTTCCCGCTGAGCAGAGAGCCCGATGTGGGGCTTGATCCCAGGACCCTGGGATCATGACCCAAGCCGAAGGCAGGCACTTAACGACTGAGCTACCCAGGCGCCCTGGATTCCATCTACTTTTAACCATACCTTTACCTATGATTCTGTCAATTTTAGCTAAATACCTAGTGTTCAATTTATAAGTGTGTTTAATTTATTATTAGTAGTAGTTCTTTAATAAAAGAACTTTGTATCATAATCTTTTGAAGATTCTATTGAATTAGTAACCATTTTTTTTTTTTATAACCTTCCCCTCAGGTATTCCCATTTGTCAGCAGCACTTAATTTGGAATAACATGGAACTTGAAGATGATTATTGCTTGAATGATTACAAGTGAGTGTAATTACATATTAGCTGTTTTATAGATGCTCAGTATTACAACTCCATATATCAGTGTTTTCCTTCTGAATCCTTATATCATGTCTCTTCTGAATAGTTGTGACCCCTAGATTTAAGCGTAAATCCTGAACCTTATGATATCTTGGCTCCGTACTTCAAACTGCCTGATCCTTATCCTTTGATTATTTGTTTTATCTTTTCATTATTCACACCAAGTTATGTATCCCCTGCCTTTTTAGATCCCCCTCTTTTGAACTTGCCTTGTGCTCTTTTCTTTTAATATTGACCCATTCCCACTTGACTACTTTCCTTTTTTTTTCATTTTTACAAGAATATTGGGTAAGAATAAAAATCCTAGAAAAGAGCACAGGCAGTAATTTTTCTGACATTAGCTGTAGCAACATTTTTCTAAGGTATGTCTCCTGAGGCAAGGGAAATAAAAGCAAAAATAAACTGTTGGGACTACATCAAAATAAAAAGCTTCTGCACAGTGAAGGAAATAATCAATGAAACTAAAAGCAAATTACTGAATGGGAGATGTTTGTAAATGACATATCCAATAAAGGGTTAGTATCCAAAATATATAAAAAACATACAACTCAACACCCCAAAATCAAATGATCCAATTAAAGAACAGATATTTCTCCAAAGAAGACATCCAGATGGTCAATAGACATGAAAAGATGCTCAGTATCACTCATCATCAGGGAAATGCAAATCAAAACTACAGGGAGATGTCACCTCATACCTGTTAGAATGGCTAAAATTAACAACACAAGAAACAATGGGTGTTGGTAAGGATGTGGGAAAAAAAGGAATCCTGACTGTTGGTGGGAATGCAGATTGGTGCAGCCACTGTGGAAGACAGTATAGAGGGTCCTCAAAAAATTAAAAATAGAACTACCCTACAATCCAATAATTGCACTACTGGGTATTTATCTAAGAAATACAAAAACACTAATTCAGAGGGATACATGCACCCCTATATTTATAGCGGCATTATCTACCATAGCCAGATTATGGAAGCACCCCAAAAGTCCATTGGTAGATGAATGGATAAAGAAGATGTGGTGTATATATACAATGGAGTATTTTTCAGCCATAAAAAGAATGAAATCTTGCCATTTGCAATGACATGGATGGAGCTACAGTGTATAATGCTAAGTGGAAGTAAGTCAGAGCAAGACAAATACCATATAATTTCACTCATGTGTAGAATTTAAAAACAAAACAACTGAACAAAGGAAAAAAAAAGGAGAGAAACCAAGAAACAGACTCTTAATTATAGAGAACAAATTGATGGTTACCAGAGAGGAGCTGGGTGGGGGGATGGGTGAAATAGGTGAAGGGGATTAAGAGGACACTTACCATGATGAACACTGAGTAATGCATAGAATTGTTGAATCATTATATTGTACACCTGAAACTAATACAACACTGTTGACTATACTGGAATTAAAATTAAAAACAATGCAAATGACATTACAGATAAAGGGCTGGTATCCAAGATCTATAACTTCTCAAACTCAACACCCAAAAAACAAATAATCAAGTCAAAAAATGGGCAGATGACACGAACAGACACTTCTCCAAAGAAGACATACAAATGGCTAACAGGCACATGAAAAAATGTTCATCATCATTAGCCATCAGGGAAATTCAAATCAAAACCACACTGAGATACTACCTTATACCAGTTAGAATGGCGAAAATTGACACGGCAAGAAACAACAAATGTTGGAGAGGTTGTGGAGAAAGGGGAACCCTCTTGCACTGTTGGTGGGAATGCAAGTTGGTACAGCCACTTTGGAAAACAGTGTGGAGGTTCCTCAAAAATTTAAAAATAAAGCTACCTTATGACCAAGCAATTGCACTACTGGGTATTTACCCCAAAGACACAGATATAGTGAAAAGAAGGGTCATATGCACCCCAATGTTCATAGCAGCAATGTCCGCAACAGCCAAACTGTGGAAAGAGCTGAGATGCCCTTCAACAGATGAATGGATAAAGAAGATGTGGTCCATATATACAATGGAATATTGCTCAGCCATCAGAAAGGATGAATACCCAACTTTTACATCAACATGGTTGGGACTGGAGGAGATTATGCTAAGTGAAATAAGTCAAGCAGAGAAGTTCAGTTATCATATGGTTTCACTTATTTGTGGAACATAAGGAATAGCATGGAGGACATTAGGAGAAGGAAGGGAAAAATGAAGGGGGGCGGAAATCGGAGGAAGAGATGAACCATGAGAGACTATGGACTCTGAGAAACAAACTGAAGGGTTTAGAGGGGCGGGGGGCTGGGGGGCTGCGCTAGCCCGGTGATGGATATTAAGGAGGGCACATACTGCATGGAGCACTGGGCGTTATACAAAAACAATGAATCGTGGATCACTACATCAAAAACTAATGATGTATTGTATGGTAACTAACATAACATAATAAAATAAAATTAAAAAATTAAATAAAATTAAAAACAATAAAAAAGTAAAACATAAATAAAATACACTTGATAAAGACAAAAAAAGAGTATTGGGTAAGAGTTTTGCTCTTCACCGAGTCTTTCATTTTTCACCAAGTCCTCCTTCTATTACTAAGTGACACTGTGTGCACCAGTGATTGCAGATATACTATTTGATTTTCATCTTTCTCTCTCCTCTGTCATACACCTCCCCACTCTTTTCTTAAGAACAAAAGGGTCAGAGGCAATGTAAAATATCTGGAAGAGCACTGGGATTTGGGAGATCTTGTAGGTCTTGTAGATTTGGTATTTTTCTATTTTTTATTAAATAGATTTGTTTTCTAACACTTTGGGTCTTGGACAAACTTCTTTTTTTCTTAGGGCTTCTTTTTCTTTACACGTGAAATGAAGAGGCTAAACTGAGGTATCATGTCATATTTAAAGCTTATGAGAACCTACTCACTTTTTCATTACTTGTACAAGTAATTAAGTTAACATTTTATATTTATGCATATTGCTTTATCTTTTTTATATTTTAGAGGGTAAGTACTATGCCTGATAAACTAGCACTTAATTATGTATATGTCTAACACCAGATACACTTTGATAATGATGGTTTTTCTATTAACAGCATATCAGAAGGTTGTACCTTGAAGTTGGTATTGGCTATGCGTGGTGGACCTATAAATGCTAGAAGAGGTAGGCGTTTTTTAAAATCATGTACATTAAAGCCATTTGACAATAATAATTTTCAAGCCAGGTGGTATTTTTATAGTCTCAAGTTTTAATCAGGTTCTCTTTCTGCTATTAGGTCTTAGAACAACATTTGTTTTTCTAAGCACTGTTCTTTAAAGCATAAATGTGCAGAAGGAACTCATATTTCAGAAAAATTTCCTGATTCCTGATTCAATCCAGGGATATTTAAAAATAAACCTCACCAGTAGAAGGAAAGGAAATGAATAGCATTGTATAAATATGTTGTTATCATTATGTTTAAGTTCATACCAGTTTGTTGCTTTTTTGACTCACTGAGTCTTCAACTCTGGATGTAATGATTGTTACAGAAAATTCTAAAGTTGGCTGTTAGCCTGGTTTGTGATACATTTGGGTTTCATAGATATTATTGTGCCCCTTCCTTTTTCAGAATGTGGGCAGTCTCTAGGGGTCTTGCGTTCATTTAACAAATATATTTTAGGTATCCACTACATGTTCAATACAGTGTTCCATGGAAGAAAAAGTTTCTGCTTACTGACAGTGCCCACAATAAAGATGTAAAGATTTGATGTCATATCAGGCAGTTGCAAGTGCTATGGAGGAAATAGGGGAGTGTGACAGTGTTTGTGGAAGTAGGATACTAGGAGGATGATTGTGGAAGAGCCTTGAAAAAGATGATGTGAGCAGAGACTTGATTAACAAGAGAGTTCTAAGCACGGGAAAAACTGGGAGTGTTCACATTGGTTCCTGATTCAGGTATGTCAGTCACATGAATCTCCACCAAGAAGAGGGATCCTTAGACTGCTCAGAGCAGTCCTGCTCCGTGGGCCTCATTTGGGGAAGGGCTTCATATTTGTTTGATCCTTTACTGACCAGAAGACTAAGGTTAAGTATTGATTACACTGCTGGTTTATTTTTTCCACAAGTCAAATTTTATTTCTGTATTTCATAATTTTGGTTAGAAAAATGGGGCTTATTATCATCTTTTTCCTAGCTACTTCAGGAGGATTTTGTGAGATGTGTTACTTTAGTTGTTGAACTGTTTTGGATAGGTTAGAAAAAAAGCAAAGGTAGTAATGTTAGAATTGGTTAACTAGCACTCCTAATATCAGAAATTCTATAAATTGGACTTATAAAATTGTCCTATGTGACATAAGGTGATGTTTATAGCAGCAAGTCTGAGGGTAGTGTAAGAACCCTAAAGTGTTTAAGATTTTATTTATTTGTCAGAGAGAGAGAGAGCACAAGCATGGGGAGTGGCAGGCAAAGGGAGAGGGAGAAGCAGGCTTCCCACTGAGCAAGGAGCCCCATCTGGGACTCAGTCCCAGGACCCTGGAATCATGACCTGAGCTGAAGGCAGATGCTTAACCGACTGAGCCACCCAAGCATCCCAAGAAACTTAAAGTGTTTACAGAGTCATTATGATAAGATGGAATTATACAGTGTTTAATAACATGTAAATTCCACTGTTAGAAAATTTTGAAAGTTGATTATGTGTGTATAGTATTGTCTTTAAACCAGGTTATTTTATCAGAACACTACTTTTCTTACTGGGACCAGAATTATTTTATGTTTATGAGGAGAAATGTAAGTGCTATAGATTTTTTTTTTAATTTTTAAAGATTTTATTTATTCATTTGAGAGAGAGAGAGCATGAGCAGGGAGAGGTAGATGGCGAGGGAGAGGCAGACTTCCCCACTAAGCAGGGAGCCTGACCTGGGGCTCAGTCCCAGGACCCCACGATCATGACCTGAGCTTTTTGACCTGATCATTACCAGACGATCAGCCAACTGAGCCACCCAGATGCCCCAAGTGCTATAGATTTTGAGTTAAAAATATATGCATGGGAGTTTTTTGGGGGGCTTTTTGGGGGGGTTTTGTTTGTTTTTTACTTTTTGAGAAATGAAAATAAAAGGCATTGCTATCCTTCGGTAGCTGAAGCTTTGTAATACCTTTTTTCCCTACAGCTTTCTATGCCTTGTTTGTAAATTGAAAAATCAGCAAGGAGAACTTGTCTTTTTAAATATTTTAATTATATATTTAATAATTTTGCCTTTATTGAATCAACTTCTTTAAAGTTAAAAGCTTGCTGTTGTCTCCATACATCATTGAAAACCTTGTGAAGATTAAAAACTATGCCCAGATCTAGAACTTTTCCATGTTGTATTTGAGAAACCATATTTTTTGGTTATTTAGTTTTACTTGAAAATTATGGTTTAGAAAATACCATGAGTTCACTAATATTTAGCTTTTAAAATTGTTTTTGAATTAATCATTATCAAAACAGCATCCTTTCTAAAATGAAATTTTATTTTAAGGTATGTATACAGTGTGTTATACCTGATGAAATCAAAGTGGTTTTTCTGTTATGAAAAGGTGTGTGCATATACCACATAAGCTGCATATATATATTCAGTCCCAGTGCCTCCTCAAGTAAGGCACACCATGTTGATTTAGGTAAGGCTTTCACACAGCCTTAGTAATGGCAGCAACATAGATTTTATTTCTTTTTAAGGTAATGTGGAATGTATAGCGTTAACTTAAAAATGGTAAGAACTTGTTTTAAACATATCTCTTAACATTTGCACATTTTGTGCCTATCAAAGAGTTGGTCAAAACATCCAAATATTTTTATAAAATAAGCTAAATATTATTATATTTCTAATTTTTCTGTTTTAGTGGTGGTGGTATTGGATTAGGATTTGGGAACATTTTTAATGTTTTTCCCTTGTTACTTTCAGTTTAATATTTCTTAGTGCTGTAACTTTTTTAAAGGTCAGCACAGCACTGGGATTCTGTTAATAAATAAGCTACTTGTATCAAAGGAAATTTGAGAAATCGTTGCCTCTTTTAGGAAAGAGCAAATGTTTCTGCAGCTTGACATGAGAGTTTTTGGGAGTGAACTTTTTTTCCTGTAATCATTACTTAAGTCTGGGTCAGAGTCTTTTAGAACATTTGCCCTATGAGCCAGCAATCTCTTGAGGCCCTTACCCCGGCAGGAGCAGAATCTGTGGCTGCTGTGGACAAGATGATGGCTGCAATACCAAACCTGAGGACCACTCCAGGCCAGAAGAGCCTATAGTAATGGGGGGCTTTGCCCCAGTCCTTGTGCTCTGACTGGACACGTGGGTACATACCAGGACAGTTGGAATCCTGGGAGGATGCTTTCAAGAAACAACATACTGACCATTGCACACATGGCAGTTTTAGTACACTCAGGGGCCCCCTTGTATTCTGAATTGTTGTATACTTTTAATTACCTAACTTGATGTCAAGAAACAGCTCTAAGAAGAACGTAAAACCAGAATCAAAGAAGAATCTAAAACCAGAAAGAAAAAAGAGATTCACTTGCTTCTAATTTCCAATATATGTCTCCCAATTATGTGTATGTGTCTTTTTTAAAAATCTAAAGTAAGTGGAATTTATATTGCTTTTAAATTATTGATGTAACCAATATTGGAAAATATAGGAAGTAGATGTGTGAGGTGAAAACAGTCATAGGTAATTATGTCATAGAATCAGCAAATATACAGACTCTGTGGCACAGGAAAATACTGATGTATTTAGTTAAGCCGTGTCTTTGTATGTAATAACATAATAATGCATTCCATTTCTTTCATGTTAGTACAACATAGGGAATGCTGTATTAACTATAAAAAGACCAGAAACTTATTTAAAGACTTGTTCTAATTCAGCACATTATATCCTGTCACTGTACCAACATGCATAAAACTTGATATAAATTGAAAGCTTGTTTATCAATTTTTCCATTTGTAGTTCCTATGGAAGATCCACTTAGGGAGATGGCTGAGTACATGGATTCCAGTCGAGATGAGGTCTGGGAGAAGACCTCCTGCAACAAACAAGTTACATTTTTGGTATACCGAGAAGGAGATCAGTTGAATTTCTTTCGTGTAGTAGATAGGGGAGATGGCACTTTAACACCATTATCTGAATCTTTAAGGTAAATAGGTTTTCATTTGCATGTCTCACTTAGAAAAGGAGAACACTGTATGATATACTCCATAAACCTTAATGTTTACTTTGTGTTGTCAAAATAATCTTATATTCACAAGACTGGCTAAATTTCATGCGTTCTCCCCACTCCCCTGCCCCAGATATATAATTCTGAAATTGTCCTTCATATGATTGATATTTAGAGAGTAATTTATAAAACTGAAATTTCTTTATGGAGTAGGATTTTTATATAAAAGATTTATTTCTGTCCTTTATGAAACTCTAAGATGCTGACTTGATTATAGAGTCTTGTTATAATATTGTGTTATTGTCCAACCTTGGCATAATAGGGTTGAACCTAGAGTTGCTGTTTTTTTTTTTTTTTTTCTTCAAAATTTAACTCTACTGCTTAAAGGCAGATAAATCTCTTTACCTTTCTGGTCTTGTTTTCCTACTCTGTAAAAGGAAGAGGAATTGTTAAATTGATTCTAAACTCAGAAGGAAACAACTTTAAAGGTACTTAGCTAGGCAATAGAACCATTAGGAAATAAGACAAGGTCATCTGTAAGTTTCTGTATACTCTGTCTTACTTGGATTCTTTATTGACTTTTGCTTTAAGCCACTAAACCCTCAATGAACTTTTTAGCCAGTCTGTACACTAGTACTGGCTTACAAAGATGATTGTCCCTCCCTTTATGGAGCGTGCAATCTGCTCTAACTAGTACCTATAATATATTCTTGCCAATTGTTATAAAAAGACATCAACATCTCTGGAAAACCAGATAAGAAGGCCTTCATTTTGCCTGAAAGGTGGAGAGTTAGGGACAAACTCTGAGAAGAAGGGACCTTAAAAGGGGAGTAGGAGTTTTCCAAGCAGACCAAGGAAGGAAAGGTATTACAGGTAACTAAATTTAATCAGGTTAGTTGTGGGGTTTTTTGGTATAAGTTATTTATATAATGGTGTAAGTTCTTTATATATTTTGGATACTAACCCCTCATTGTTTATATCATTTGCAAATATCTTCTCCCATTCAGTAGGTTGCCTTTTCATTTTGTCGAAGGTTTCCTTTGCTGTACAAAAGGTTTTTTTTTTTTTTTTAAGACTTTTCATTTATTTATATGACACAGAAAGAGAAATAGAGAGAGAGCACAAGCAGGGGGAGCAGCAGGCAGGCAGAGGGAGAGGGAAAAGCAGGCTCCCCGTGGAGCAAGGAGCCCAATGTGGGGCTTGATCCCAGGACCCTGGGATCATGACCTGAGCCGAAGGCAGATGCTTAACCGACTGAGCCACCCAGGTGCCCCTGTACAAAAGCTTTTTATTTTAAAATAGTATAGTCCCAATAGTTTATTTTTGCTTTTGTTTCCCTTGCCAGAGGAGACATATTTAGAAAAATTTTGCTAAGGGAGATAACAAAGAAATTACTGCCTGTGTTTTCTTCTAGGAGTTTTATGGTTTCAGGTCTCACATTTAGGTCTTTAACTCATTTTGAGTTTATTTTTGTGTATAGTATAAGAAAGTAGTCTAGTTTAATTATTTTTTGCATGTAGCTGTCTAATTTTTCTAGCATCACTTATTAAAGAGACTGTCTTTTCCCCCGTTGTACATTTTTGCCTCCTTTGTTGTAGATTCCTTGACCATATAAGCATGGGTTTACTTCTGGGCTCTGTTCTAGTCCATTGATCTATGTGTCTATTTCTGTGTTGGTACCATACTGTTTTGATTATTATAGCTTTGTAATATATCTTGAAATCTGAGACTGTGATACCTCCAGCTTTGTTCTTCTTTCTCAAGATTGCTTTGGCTATTTGGGGGTCCTTTGGTGGTACAAGTGACTAAATTCAATCCCACAATATATAAAGCTAGTAGAAAAAATTGTAGAAAAAATAACTTGTAGTCTGGAGAACAGTTTCTGTGGCTCAGGAGTCTAGTCACAGTTTAGCTGGGTGCTCTGCTCAGGGTCTCCCAAAGCTGCAGTTGAGGTGTTGGCAAAGATGCGCTCTTATATGAAGGCTTGATAGAATCTACTTCCAAGCTCATTCATGTTGTTGGCATAATTCATTTCCTGGCAGTTGTATGACTGAGGACCCTGGGTTTTTTTCTGGCTTTTTCCTAGAGGCTGCCCTCAGCTCCCTTTTGATTAACTCAAAATCAAGTGATTTGGGGCCTAAATTACATCTGAAAAATCACTTTTACCATATTGTGGTGACTAGAAACAAGTCCTAGGTCATTTTTACACTCAAGTGTAGGGGAGTGTACAGGATATGAGCACTAGGGATCGGGAATCATGGGGATTTCTTTAGATTCTGCCCACCACAAGTTATGTGGAAGAAGGATTAGACTCATTTTTTGAGAGCTGACTATGGCAAATGGGTGTTGACTGTTGACTCTAACTTATTACGATCTGGTTACTACAAAGTGTAATAGTAACCATATAGTAACTACAACCATGTAGGCCAGAGGTAGAGAAGAGGGTGTAATCAGGGCTGCAGCCTTAATCCAGAGCCTCTTACTTGGACCATGAATAGAATTTTTTCATACCAGTCTCCCCATGTGCTAGCTCATTGTTGTTTTGGTTTCCTTCCTTCGAACATCCTCTTTTGGTTCCCTTTTCCTAGAGAAAATCTAAGTTCCTTAGCTTTGCTTGTAAGGCCCTTTACAACCTGTCATTGTCCATTTTTGAGCTCTCCTTCATTATGCCATGTTTTTGTACATCTTTTACCCTTTGCTTGAAATGTCATTTTCTTCTTTTACCTCAATTTCTCCTCAGCCAGCTTCTATTTAAGACATAGCCCAAGTGTTGCGGAGGATTTCAATTAAAATTGTATTGTTCCTCTCAAGGTATTTATTTTTAACTTTTCTCTTCCTTTCTTTTCACCTACCAGAATTGGACAAGGGATAGGGGTGGGTGAGAAAGGAGAGTAGAAAACTTTTTCTGGCCATACCTTGAATGACATTTATCTTGACTGTTGTAGGAGAGGCTTTCTTACTCTGTAATAGGGGGCAGCAAAATTTTTTTGGAAAGGGCCAAATAGTAAGTATTTTAGGATTTTCAGGCCAAGAGATAAAATCAAAGGTCCTGTGTTGGTACTTACATAACAAGAGAGAAGAATTTCCACACAATTTTTACTGTCAAAATTCCAAAATATAATAATAATAATTGAGGGGCACCTGGTGGCTCAGTTGGTTAAGCACCCAACTCTTGATTTGGGCTCAGGTCATGATCTCAGCATTTTGAGATTGAGCCCCATGTTGGGCTCCAGGCTGGGTGTGGAGCCTGCTTAAGAGTCTCTCTCTCCCTCTCTCCACTCGTGTGCGTGCGCGCGGGTGCAGGTTTACACGCACTCTCTCTTAAAAAAATTTAAAAAATAATAATTGAGGACTTGTGTGTGTGTGTGTATAATTTGGATCCACGAAAGAGGAGAATTGAATGCTTTTTGGGGGGTAATATTTTACTTGAGGTTGCAAGCTAGTGTTGCCTATCAAATTTGCAAAATCAGTTGCAAAAGTTCATCTGTTAGTATGGATCTGTAATGAGATTTTATGTATTTTATCTTTGAAAGTTTTTTTTCACACAGATGTTGCCATGTACTGATACCAGTCCATAAGCATATGATTTTAATTGAGCATATTCATTGCTTGGAAGGCATTTATAGAATTCTGTTACAGTGTCCTCTTGCCATTTGCCTTTAACATGGCATTACATTGCATATTAATCACATCAGGATAGGTGGAGCTCCTCAATTGCACATTTAAATAGATTTTGAAATATGGAAATTTCCTTTAACTTGCTACAAGGTATGAAAACACTGCTGGGAATTTAGAAAATATGCCCCTGTAAATTTGTGTGGGAATGTTCTTGCTTTTTAACTTTTGAAAGCATGCTATTGCATGTTATTCAAAGTAATATTGGTGTCATCACAATGACATTACTGCAGTATAAGTTTCTCATAGGAGCACTGTTTTGCCTTATAATTTTAGGTAGAATTCAGTAAGAAACATTAAGTCCACAGCAAAAGCTAATTTTCAAAGGCATTCAGGTGAAGGTGTTTCTTCTTGTTGAGAAAAATTCAATGTTAGCCCTGAGCTTTAAAGAATCATAATAAAACTATTATAGTCAAGACATTGAACTGACAGCTAAGTCCATGAACCAAAAAAGTTTACTGTTGACACTACTGGTTTAAGAATACATGATAAGGGCGCCTGGGTGGCTCAGTTGGTTAAGCAACTGCCTTCGGCTCAGGTCATGATCCTGGAGTCCCTAGATCGAGTCCCACATTGGGCTCCCTGCTCGGCGGGGAGTCTGCTTCTCCCTCTGACCCTCCCCCCTCTCATGTGCTCTCTCTCAAATAAATAAATAAAATCTTAAAAAAAAAAAGAATACATGATAAATTCAAATATTTACCCCTGAATACCTACTGATGAATAATACAGTGAGTAACCATAGCCTTTTAACACCTTAGGTTTTCATTAGCTTTGTAAATTTGTCCAACTTGTTTTTTTTTCTGTTCCACACATATTTTTACTCTATCACTTGTAGGAGATTTCACTTCAAGTTTACTGAATTAGTGTTTTAGCAACTCTTGAAAATCTTCTTACCTGTAGTTGTTTCATGCAGACTATTCATAGGGGCTTCATTCTTCACTAACTTCAAAGTTGGTATTGATGCCTTGATAAACAAAAACAACTGAACGGTACCAATAACTTATGTCGAGTCATCAAAAGCCAAGGAACAGAACTCCAAATCATTGCCTTATTGTGTAGTTGACTATTGTTGTTGCTTCCACTGTTACCAATTCTTCAAGAAATTGTTCTTGCCAAAGGGGTAGTCTTCATTTAAACAAGTTTATTTTCTCTGGACACATTTCTTCAATTGCTGTGATCAAGCATAGTTTAATTAATCCAACTCGTGCTCTAGGGAGGCAAACAGATTTTCTTACTAGCTAGTAAATTAGCCCCTCAGAAACTTATTTTGGTTGCAGTTTCATTTTCGTTTTTTCTTTTTGTGAAGAAATTCTACTTTGATGACATGCCATTTTAAATTTTTGCAGTTTTTCTGACACTTTCTTGCAAGTTGGGAACAGTGTGATGAGTTCTTAGTCTGGTAGTGTCCAAATAAGTGGTTTTTCTTTAGCACAGCCACAGCGTCATTGCATAATGAACACAATACTTTGCCATGTGATCGCACGTAATTGATGGTGAAACAGTCCACTCTCTACTGTGCCTTAAACCTGCGGCATTCGAAGTTCACGCTCTTGTTCTGACACGTTAGGAGTGTGTGTGTGTGTCAGTGTCGTGATGTGATGATACACATGGCACTCAAAATGCTGTGGAATTGTGATTGTGCCAGTGTGCTTTGTAGTGTGCCAAGCCGAAGTGCAGAGCGGTGAGACGGCCACATACGATTCTAATGTGGCTGCTCAGCTCTACCATTGCAGTGCCGAAGCCACCACCTGTAACACGTGATCCAGTGAGGGTGGCAGTGTTCAATCAAACTTTTTATTTATGGACACAAATATGAATTGGATATAATTTAACATTATGAAATATTATTTTGATTTTTTTCAACTATTTAGAAGTGTCAAAACCATTCTTGTGGACCACACAAAAGTAAGTGGTAGAATGAACTTGGCCTGCGGCCATAGTTTACCAACTCATGCTCTAGGGAGGAAACAGGGAGAATGGGTGCTAATTTAACTCATTCTGGTACAAAATCTAGTACCAGTCATTTTTAGTCTTAAATCTTTATAGTTAATCATGCCACCTTACTGCTGGTTTAAGTGGGAAGCAATAAAAGGAGGCAATGCAAGACAATTTTAATTAAATGGTAACTTGTCTGTGGAAGTCACGTAAGTACTTGGCTTCTGGATGAACAATATTCATGTTGCAGTAAATATTCATTTGCCCATCTTTTGTTCTTTAATCACATTATTAGATCAAAAGATTTAGAAAAAGTTAAATACAGCATTCAAGAAAATATCTAGAAACTTAAGAAAATATTTAGAACATTTAAATATGAAAAAAGATATTTATGGATTAAGTTTATAAATTACTACGTTATCCTAGTCTAGTTACATTTTTCCATTTTGAAAAAAATTGTTTTTTAACTGATCTCCTAAATCTGTTCTGTGAGAGAAAACACAGTAATGTGGTTCTTTGAAAAAAATTAGGTGGATTTAAAAGCATGTTTTTACCCTCAAAAATACATCTGTTGAAATAGTTATCATGATTGTACTTTAAAAAATACACATATGTACATACACGTGTGCATGCAAGCACATGCACACAGACATACTGTTTTCCATGGGAAAACATTAAAGGGCCAGTTTTTTATGACAAGAAAGTTGAGTCAGAAACCTCTTTCGGTATTCAGTATGGGTATGTAAAGTTAAAATAACCATAGGATGTATGAGAGAAGTACTTAAAATACTGCAAGGTGACCAAGGATAGAATATACTAGAGTCATTCCTTTCAACTCCAAGGGTGAAGTGGCAAAAGTCTCCACTCATCCCTCCTTTTCAGGTACAAGAGCCCTCACATACTGTAAGTTCTATCACTTATTTGGGTTCACAGGCATAATGCAGTAAAGTCTGTTGTTTGATGCCTGAGGGAGCAACAGGAAATAGTATAAAGAGTAGACTTTGGAGGCAGGGGATTTGAATCTTAAGTCCACCATTTACAGGTTTAGTAAAACCTCTCTCAACTCCGTCTCTTCATTTATAAAATGAGATATAATATCACCTTACATAGTTTTTATGAGGATTAGAAATAGCGTGTAAAAAGTATCTGGCAGAGTAGCATTCAGTAAATGATAGCAATATTAATTTAGTGTTGTTCCCATTGTGTCAATTTTCATATCGTGGTAGGCATCTACAGTAGGTACAAGTGATGGTCACAAGTCAAACACGAGGGACTAAACTGCTTATGGAGACATATTTCCGCTGTCATTCCTTCTGATGCCCGTACCTGCTATGCACATAGTTCATCTGTGATTTCAAAATGTCATCATTTTCACCATGTAGAGTTTTAAGAATGGGGCTATCCATTATGTGCTTTGCCTTTGTGTGGTGGTAGTATGTGCTTCAGAAGTGGTATGGAATATGCCCTTCTTATTTAAGGTTATCCTAAATTATTTCCATTTCTTACAACCATATAGAACAGGAACTTTTGTTAACCCTCATACATTAGCAGCAATACATACTTTAGTTTTTCTGTAAGTAAATCAGACGTGGTGATCAATACTTATTCTTAGTCTGCTCTATTTAAAATCTTAGTCATTCTACAGATATGCTGAACTTGTGTTTATCCTAAACATTTACCATTGTAATTTTACTGTTACTGAAAAAGCTGAGTGAAATTTCACTAATGTTTATGTTTAGTTCAACATTTATTGGCTATGCACCAAGCACTGTGCCAGGCACTGAGACTAAGAAGATGAATAAGGCCTAATATCTGCTTTCATCTTGCTTACATATGGGGGGAGTGAGAAGGAAAGATAGACATATAAGTATAAATATGAGGATAGTGGGATAAGTGCCAGTATATTATGCCGTCAAAGAGAAGGGGAAGGGTCTCCAAATAATAATTATGTTAAGGTATGAATAAATGTCATGGTGACTGATCAGTAATTCAGATGTTTTACATGTATAATAATTTGTGACATGACTTGACTGGGGTTTCTTTTTTCATTTTAAAATACACGCTGTTCTAGGTGGTTATGCTTCCAAACGCTGAAAAAAATCTTGTTATTCTTATTTTTTCATTGTTCTTTAAGAACAGATAATGTTCTAATGACACCTGTGTGAGTTCTTTTTTAGTGAAAATCCTCTCAGGATGAATAAAAATCTGGACTTCTGTGTCAATTTCTTTTTCATTACGGTTAAATGGAATTCTGATCAGCCTGTGGTCTAGGTTTCGCAATTATCAGCCTTGGCTGATAAAATGAAATCAGTGCATTTTTGTGAAGATGGATTTTGCTTCTGTGGGAGTGAGGTAGTAGGTGCCATTAAGACCTTCACTTGTGGTATATTGACTTCAGAAAAGCTTAGCTGTGCTAGATATGTCAGTCATGCTAGATCATGGTATTTATCCATATTTATTTTTTTCTTCTAAGAAGTATATTTTTTGAAATACATTTGCCTTGAATTTACATTGACAGATTTATTCTTTTACCATTAGCAGCATCTGTATAGTTTCTATTGCACATAAGTATTTTTAGTCATTGAGCAGGTATCAGAAACATCTCAGTAGTAATTATTGCTTTCTTTGCAGTGGTGGGTCTGTGTATAATTTGTATACGGATGAAGATGAAGAAATTGAGCCTTCTCCTTCTGGGCAACAGATAATTGAAAATTCAATAACTATGAATAAGATGAAGCTGCTGAAGGCTAAGATGGAGAACATGAATCTCAGCAAAAAGGTGAAGCTGTTGGCATTTGGCCAGGCTTTTCTCTAGTTTGTCCCTGCAGGGCTCACAGCATTGAGGTCTGTTGATAATTGTGAAAATGAATTATTTATAAAATATTGTTCATTTCAAGTTTCTGGCCTCAGTTATTTATTGAGGTATTAACAGTGATGAATTGTTTTTTTAGGCCACCAATACATCTACTGTGATATATTGCACTTAAAATAATTCACTGTTTTTTTTTTAATTTCATAGCTCTAGTGCTAAGAGGATAATAAAAAATAGTCTAATCTTAATCTTGCAATAGTTACTTTTTAAAATGCTCTGTTAATGTTTGCTTTTTATAGATACTGCCTCTATTTGGGCTTTGATAAGGAATATTCCTATGTTTAGCTTTACTAGATATTGTCAGTTTTCCAAAGTAATTCCAAAGTAATTGAACCAGTTTACATTCAACTGTCCAGTAGTGAATGAGAGAGGGTTTTCACACAGTCTTACCAGCATTTGGTATGATCCTTCTTATTTATTTTTGTCATTCTGGTTGACGTGTAGTTGCCTCACATTGTGGTTTTAATTTGTATTCCTCTGACTGATGAGGTTGAGCACCTTTCCCATGTTTATTCGGTATTTGGATATCCCTTTTTGTAAAATGCCTGTTCATATCTCTTGGGCATTTTTCTGTTCAGTGGTATGTTTTTTCCTTATTGATTTTTTTTGATCTTTATGTATTCTGGATATAAATCCTTTGTCATACACACACACATATCACTACTCTGTTATTTTGCTTTTCACTCTCTTAATAACTAATCCCCTTTTCTTCCTTGAAATATAATATATACATATAATAAGGTTCACAGATCTTTAATGTACAGCTTGATGAATTTTTACATTTATATACACTCATGTAGGTACAACCCAGATTAAAATAGGACCAGGTTTCCTTATAACCTTTCCCTACTCCCAGAAATAACTACTATTTTTACACTTGTCACCATAAATTAGTTTTGCCAGTTGTTGAACTTTGTATAAATATCCTTTTTTTTTTTTTTTTTTTTGGTCTGGTTTCTTTTGCCCAACAACATAGTTTTGTAAATCATCCATGTTGTGAGTATCAGTTCATTCTTTTTTCTGCTATGTACTATTCTATTGTATGACTATTCTTCAGTTTGTTTCTCTCCTTTTGATAGGTTGGATTTGTAGTTTGTAGTGTTTGGCTTTCATCAGTAAAGATGCTTTCAACATTCTTATACATGTTTTTGGTGGACGTATGCGCTCTTTTCTTTGGGGCATAAGCCTAGGAAGGTACTTGTCATAGGGTAGGTTTATATGTAGCTTTAGTCACTACGCCAATTTTGCAAGAGCTCTGTAATTGTTCCTTTCTCATTTAGATTTACAATCCATCTAAAAAAAACTTTTTAAAAAATGTAATGTGAAGTAGGGTAAAGATAATTTCTTCCCAGGTGGAGAACAGTTGACCTAGCTCTATTGAAAAAATTTTTCTCCACAATCTAAATGTTTAGGCGTCTAATAACAGAACTTCAAAATATACAAAGCAAAAGCTTCAAAGAGAAATCAGCAAACCCAGTTATTTTAGAAGAATTCTACATTCACACTCTCAAAAAATTGATAGAAAAGCTAGCGAATCAGAAAGGATCTAAGAAGACTTGAATAACACTATCAACCTACTTGTTCTGATTGATATTTACAGAATGCTCCACCTAAAAACAGCAGAATGTACATTCTTGTTAAGTGCACACAGAACATTTACTAAGATAAACCATATTGTTTGCTATCAAACAAGTCCCGATAAATTTGAAAAGATTGAAATCATACAAAAAGCCTCTCTTATTATAATGGGATAAAGTTAGGAATCCATAACAGATATTTGGAAAGTCCAATATTTTGGAAATAACACAATTCTAAGTAGTCGATGGGTCGAATAAATCCATAGAAATTAAAAATCATTTTGCATGGAGCAAAAATATTCTGATAATGTGAATTACTTTTTTTAATATGAAATCATTCTTACATTCTTAGAATGAACCACTGTTGGTTGTGACGAATCTTCCTTTTTATATCTTTATGTTTCATTTGCTAACACTGTATTTAGGACTTTTATCAGGGAAATTGGTCTCTGATTTTTTCTAACATACAGCAAAATTGAAAGAATTTTAGAGTGAACACCCATTTATCTTATCACCTAGATTTTATAATTTTTTAAATTGTTTTTAGTTGTAAAATATACATAAAATTTAGTATCTTAATCATTTTTAAGTTTACATGTTGTTCAGTAATGTTAAGTACATTCATACTATTGCACAGTCTTTAGAACTTTTTCATCATGCAAAGTGAAACTCTGTACTCATTAAACAATTCCCTATTTCCCTGCTCCCCCTGCAGTTCCTGGCAACCACAATTCTGCTCTCTGTTTCTATAAACTTGACTCTCTAGATACCTTGTATAAAGTGGAATCATACAGTTTTGTTTTTTTGTTTTTGTTTTTGTTTTGTGGATGACTTACTTCGTTTAGCCATGTCCTCAGAATTCATCCATGTTATAGAATATGTCATAATTTCCATATTTTTAAGGTTGAGTAATATTCCATTTTGTGTGTGTGTGTGTGTATAACATTTTATTTACCCATGCATCTGTCGATGGAGACTCTACCTCTTGGCTGTTGTGAAGAATGCTGCTATCAACATGGGTATATAAATATCTCTTTGAGAGCAATCCTTTGGATATATACCCAGAATTTCAAGATCATATGGTAATTCTATTGTTAATTTTTTGAAGAATTGCCATATTGTTTTCTTTTTTTGTAAAGATTTTATTTATTTGACAGAGACACAGCAAGAGAGGGAACACAAGCAGGGGGAGTGGGAGAGGGGGAAGCAGGCTTCCTGCCGAGCAGGGAGCCCGATGCGGGGCTCGATCCCAGGACCCTGGGACCATGACCTGAGCCGAAGGCAGACGCTTAACGACTGAGCCATCCAGGCGCCCTGCCATGTTGTTTTCTACAGCAGTTGTATGTACCATCTTACAATCTACTGGTGATACACAAAGTTTCCAATTTTTCCACATCCTCACCAACACTTGCTATTTTGTTATTTTTTAAACAGTAGTCATCCTCATTGGTGTGAGGTGATATCTCACTGCAGGTTTGATTTGTATTTTTCTAAAGGTTAGTGATGTTGAGCATCTTTTCATGTGCTAGTTGACCACTTGTATATCTTCTTTAGAGAAATGTCTATTCAAGTCTTTGGCCCATTTTTGAATTCGGTTATTTTTTTTTGTTGTTGAGGTTTAAGAGTTCTTTAGAAATATATTCTGGATACTGAATTCTTAGGAGGTATGTGATTTGCAAATATTTTCTCCTATAGGTTGCCTTTTTACTCTGACAGTAGTGTCCTTTGATACACCAAAATTTCAAATTTCTATGTAGTCCATTTTATCTGTTTTTACTTTTGTTGCCCATACTTTTTTGATTTCGTATCCAAAAAATCATTGCCAAATCCAATGTCATGAAGCTTTTCCTTCTGTTTTCTCCTAAAAGTTTTATAATTTTAGGTCTTACATTTAGATCTTTGGTACATTTTAGGTTAATTTTTGTATGTGGTGTAAGGTAAGACTCCCAACTTCATTCTTTTGAATATGGATATCCAATTTTCCCTCTTCCACTTGTTGAAGAAACAGTCTTTTCCCCATTGGGTGGTCTTGATACTTTGTTGAAAATCATTTGACCACATATGTGAGGGTTTATTTCTGGGCTGTCTACTCTATTCCATTGGTCCATATGTCTGTCTTTATGCCAGTACCACACCTTTATTTTTTTATTGAAATATAATTGACATACAATATATCCTATTAATTTTAGGTGTACATCATAGTGATTCATTATTTTTATATATTATGAAATGATCCCCAGAATAAGTCTAGTTACCATCTGTCAATACACAAAGTTATTACAATATTATTAACTGTATTTCCTTTGCTGTACATTACATCACCATGACTTATTTCTTTTAGAACTAGAAGTTTGTGCCTCTTAATCCTCTTCATCTGTTTTGTCCCGCCCCCGACCCCTCATTCTGGTAACCAGCAGTTTGTTTCCTGTATCTATGAGTTTGTCTCCATTTGTTTTTGTTTGTTTTGTTTTTTTCATTCCATGTGTATGTGAAATCATATGGTATTTGTCTTTGTCTGACTTATTCCGCTTAACATAATACCTTCAAGGTCTATACGTGTTGTCGCAAATGACAAGATTTTATTCTTTTTTTTGGCTAATATTTCATTGTGTATATATACCACATCTTTATCCATCTATCAGTGGACACTTAGGTTTCTTCCATATCTTAGCTATTATAAATAATGTGACACTGAACATAGGAGCACACATAATCTCTTTCAATTGGTGTTTCTCTTTTCTTCAAGTCAATGCCCAGAAGTAGAATTTTGATATATTGTACGGTAATTCTGTTTTTAATTTTTTTTAAAGATTTTATTTTCTTGAAAGAGAACATGAGTGGAGGGAGGGAGGGGCAGAGGAAGAGGGAGAGAGAATCCTCAAACAGCCCCCCTGCTGAGTGTAGAACCCAATGGGGGGCTTGATTCTAGGACCCTGAGATCATGACCTGAGCCAAAATCAAGAGTCAGACACTTAACGACTGAGTTACACAGGCTCCCCTATTTTTAAGTTTTTGAGGAACCTCCATACTGTTTTCCAGAGTGGCTGTACCAACTGGCATTCCTACCAAATGTATGAGGGTTCCTTTTTCTCTGTATCCTTGCTAATACTTGTTGTTTTAATTTTTCTGGTAATAGCCAATTTGACAGATGTGAAGTGATAGCTCACTGTAGCTTGGATTTGCATTTCCCCAATAATTAGTGATATTGAACATCTTCTCATGTGCCTATTGGCCATCTGTATATCTTTGGAAAAATGTCTATTCAAGTCCTCTGCCTAAGTTTTAATCTGGTTGGTTGGTGGTTGTCCGATATTAAGTTGTGTAAGTTCT